GATAGACATATTTTTCATATCTTTATTAAAAAATATGTTTTTAAGGGAGGCGAGTGCATAGATTGTCAGAAAAAAGTTTGCATTAGAGCATTAAGTTGCTGCGTAGGACATCAAACACCCCCATCTGTCTATACACAAGACATAATTAGTCAATTTAAATAAAAAGATTAATATGGGGTATTTTTAACAGCAAAATTGATTACGGTACTTAGCCTGATATAAAAATTTTAAGTCAAAGAGATCTGCTTGTTAAAGGACACTTAACATTTGATGTATATATCACATGACTAATGAATTAATGCACTCCCTTGTAGATGTGCATTGAATAGTTCTAGTTACACTGAATCTTGAGTCATTGCAACCAAATCATAAACCGTCTGTAATATTTATATATGCATATTAACAGTATATTTTATATTGATCTTTTATTCACATTCATAATTTTCTTTTTTTTCAGAGTTCAAATATTGTACTCTGGTAATAAACTACAAAGAACCTTAGAAAATCTCCATTCATTTGAATATCAAAGTCACCAACTCAGTTAAATAAATTCACATGTCTAGACTTAGCTGCAAGTGATCAAAACAGATGGACATATGGTATAGACACTTCAATGTCTAATTTGTAAGATCATATTTTGATCACTTGATGTCTTTCTGGTTTTATTTTGTTTTTATTGGTATCATTGATTGCTGTCCAATTGACCTTTATCATATATCCACTTTGACCATTTGATTTTGAAATGTACTTTTAAAATATAAATTCTCATATAAGCGTAAATCACAGATTTCATATTTATGTCTAAGATCCTATTCAGATGAATAAATAGAAAAAATCTAAACATAATTTTTAATAAGAAGAACATCGATCTATTTAAAGTATAATGCTTCTTTTGTAAGTTCTACCAGCAAGAAATTATTTTTCAAAAAGTTTCATTCATCTTTGAAAACCATCTTTGTTTACTTCTACATGTTAGCACTTTTCCGTGACAAGCTTTCTCTTCCGGGCTGACAGTTATCTGTCACAAAACATTAGTTTCAAGATTTGGGCTTTATGTTCTAAAGAAGGATCGTAATCCTTACAATACATTGATAAATTTCTCTTCCTCAATTAAACAATCTTAATTGAACAGCTTATTCTTATACAATTCTTCTAATAAACTGCAAACCATTTAAAGTCAGTACAATAAAAATCGTGAGTAATGTTAATTTAAAGTCTTCTTTTATGAGAAAAATCCTATGTCGGACATCGTAATATGTACTTTTGGTGCAATATTATTAATCATCATGAAACTTCTTCGACTATTTTGAAAAATTGAAAGCTTTAATTTTCGAAAATGTGTAAAGTGCAAGTTATGAGGAAAAAAGTTGTTTGCTCGGAGAAACAATGTAGACGTCATCAGCTTATTAACCGAGAAATTACATTTTAACCCACCCAAAATGCCAATGGGATTGTGAAATACAATCACATAAATTTGTTTCAGTGCAACCAATTCATTAGATGAATTTGTACTGATTGTTAAAAAAAAATTATAAAATGGTCAAACAAGTGCAGTCAGAGAGTAAATCCTATAATCAAAAGTCTTGTGACCATTGGTAAACATTATTGTAAACTTCAAAGTTAATAACTATCTGTAGATAGTTTCAGTATGAATTTTCTGAATTTCAGAAATTTTCTGAAGGGGAGTATGAAATAATGACCTTATTTGGTCCCTAAAACATAATAATTACAGTCCAATTCTTTCAATGCCACTAATGGAAGACACATATCACTACCCTTAATATACAAGTCCCCTTCATAAGTCCCCACATGGAAATTTAAGGGCATAAGAAACGTACCACATCATAGTTCTTTTCAAAGAAAGGTTTTATATATAGATTATATGCTTATCACATCCAGTCTTCCCACTTTTCTGAATACCTAATATGTTTACAAGTTTCTATATAACATTGAATATACTTCATGATACATGAAGGGTGTCATTTTTAAAACAAATCTGATAGTTAATCGTTAAATGTATCAAATTTTGAATCTAACAGTAGACTTTATAAAAGAGAGGCAAAAGATACCAAAGGATCATTCAAACTCATAAGCCGAAAATAAACTGACAACGCTTTGGCTAAAAAAGAAAAAGACAAATTAACAGTACACAAAACACAACATAGAAAAGACTGAGCAAAACAAACCCCACCAAAAGCTTGGGGTTAATCTGAGATGCACCAGAAGGGTAAGCAGATCCTGCCCCACATGTGGCACCCGCTTTGTTGCTCATAAAACAGACAAATTGTTTTGTTGTAGTGTCTTAGTAAATCTGGTTAGGTGGCAAATCAACTCGTCAGTATTACTTTATTTTTTTTTATGAACATTATTTGCCAGCTAAAAACCTTGACCTTTGCTGACCACTGGTACATAAAAGACAGTTATATTAGGAAATGTGTCAGTGAATCATTCAAGATTGACCATCATGAACAGTAAATGTAAACTTCTTCATTTTGGGGCCCTTTATAGCTTGCTGTTCGGTGTGAGCCAAGGCTCAGTGTTGAAGGCTGTACTTTGACCTATAATTGTTTACTTTTTATACATTGTGACTTGGATGGAGAGTTGTCTCATTGGCACTCATACCACATCTCCTTATTTCTACTAAGTTTATGGTGGTGCTCTTTAGATTAAAATAATACACACTTATATTAAAGTGTTTTAAATTCTGAATATGTGTAAACAAATATATAATTTTTCAATACATACAATTTAGGTATTGAAAACAAAATGAAGTTATCTAACAACAGATGGATGCAGAACACAAAGTTATGGTTAAAGATCTACTAGTTCTTTTATTGGCTGATTGTTGATTGCTTAACGTCCAGTGGCAAATATTGCATGCATGAACAGGACATATAGTTCTTTTACAAAGTGGACTTAAACATAAATCAGGCTGTTACTTTTCTCATTTGTATTGTTTCACATTTGTACTTTTGTACTTTTTTTTTTATGGCTTGCTGTGAGGTATGGGTTTTGCTCATTGTTAAAGGCTTACAATTACCTAAATTGTTGCTTAAACTTCTGCGCCATTTGGTGTCTGGTGGAGAGTTGTCTCATATATAGGCAATCATGCTACATCTTTTTTTTTTTATATTAAACCCAAATAAAGTTATGCATATTTCATTAATATTTTATCAAAAACATAATGAACATTTTTCTTCCTGATGTCATAATGAATTTGATAAGATTTTATTAACCATTTCGATATTCTAAGAGTCGGCAAAATGTGACATTGTTGGTTGATACTTACCAATTTTCTTATAGATTATTTTTCATTATTGATTAAGTTCAAATGCACTAAGATTATGTTCAGTCTTCAAAAAGGTGTTAACTTAAAACACAAAATTTTAATGGAAAAGTTTAGTAAAAATTTGTAATGTGCACGCATGAGACAATGTGTTAAAGAATTTATAATGAAAACCTGAGAAATGTATATTTTGTTCTATAAGTCTTACATGATAATAAGTCACAGGACTGTATATTTTAGATAGAAAACACTATATTTAAACAAAAAGTTTTATTCTTGTATGTTATTAGTTGCACCAGAGTATTTGTTGCGGGTATCGATCTGTTCTGTCAGAGATCAACAAAACAGGTTTATATGGGCATGATGGGAAGGATATAAATTTCAATTGTACAGCATTATTTTTTAAATTCAGAGAACCTAATATGGAAGGCATGAAGATATTGGCATTAATAAAATATTTTTTTCAAATAACTTAACAGATCTTTTATCTAAAAATATTTCATTGAAAGATATCAAAGGAAATAAAAGTAGGATTCAATTGAATTATTAAAACAATTTCAAATAAAGAAACATATATTGTAATGCAATACACTGAGAAAAAACAAGACCAGATCTACATATACATATACATGCAGAACAGCCTTCAGCAGCAAAAAGATAGGAAATTCTTCGTCAATTCTAGGTGCCAACCAGTAAAATGCACGAATAAAGTAGTTCCCATGGTAGTTCAAAAAATTCTCAGACCAAAGTACCTGTATACTTTTATATTTAGGAACTGAATCCAGTTTTACTAATTATAGCAAGATTTGTATGTTGTGTTGGTTTTCTTCATGTTATTTATAGATTATCGATGGTTTTTCAAACGAGAGGGTGTTTCTCAGCTACAATCTCATCGAAGGGCTACAACCCTGAGATGAGATGTGGCAGAGAAACATTCTCCAGGTTTAAAGACCATTGATAATCTGTTTATCGCTATTTTGCCTAGGACGTCGTTAATTTTCACGCTCTTAGTTTCTGACGATAATTTTCTATCTCAAGCGAGTAGCATAATATGAAAAATTATCACAAAAAAAGTTCAAAGGAAAAATACACAAAATAAGAGATAAACAATATATATTTAGGTTGTTTGCGTGACACAGATGTACCTGACTTGTATTAAGCAAACAGATGATTCAATGGGCAAAGCAGCAGAATCTTTTTCATTTCAAAAAAAATTTCAATTAATCACATCTAAAAACGTGTGGATTTATCCTGAAAAATAGTAAAATAATATCAATTCCACATTTGACCCAAATGCAACTTTGAATACTGCTATAGGTTAATAACTGAAGTTGCAAAATGTCGTAACTCTGTACCCTCGGTTTTATTCAATGACGGGGAGAAAAAACACAATTGAGAAACCTAAGAAATAACTTAGATCTTTCACATAGGAGGTCCAAATCTTCAATCTGACTGTGCAATCATTGTGAAACTTTTGAATACTGTTGGATTAGCATACAGGACACAAAATAGTTACCTTCTACAGCATTCAATGCAAATGACTAGTTCAACACATGGGATACATGAGACAAACTATCCATGAGAAAAACTATCTTTTTAAACACCTTAACTAAAGTCCATCACTAAAAAGAATTTTTATTGATAAAATCCATAAGTCTCTTAGTTGGAATCCTTCATTGGCCTTCTATTTTAACAATTTAGGAGTCTGACTAACCTTTTTTGTTTCTTTGTCTATCAAAATTTTCTTCACTGTTGACAGCAAGGACCTAATTCCTTGCTCTAGCTGCTGAGCTGTCTTGTTCCCTGTCTGTGTTACAGAGGGAATGGTTACCAGTACAAGTGTAGGTAAGGCAAGCATTCCAACAACAACAGGGTTCCAGGAGGAGTCCTTCAAAACCCAATTAGCTGAAAAAAAATTGAAATGCTTATAATAATAGAAACCTTTAATATGTTGGCTTTTTCAGTGCAAGTAAGCAATTCTATTTTTAGGTGAGTTATTCAAAATAATTTTAGGTATTGAAAAAAGCTCAAGCAGACCTCAAATAGTTCTACGGATAAGCCACCTTATACAAGATTTTACACAATGTACTAAAATGATACATTTCACAATTTACTAATGAGCCAATACAGACATATGGAAAAAGATTTTTAAAAAATAGAAGAAGACAACTAAGATTGATCATGAACAATTCAGTATACCGTAACGATCAATCTTAGTCGTAAGTTTTTTGGTGAAAACAACTCCTGGACTGGAAAAAAAACCTAACTTTTTCTGACATATAAATTTTTTGGTTTTTTTTCTTTAACAAATAATAATTGGGTTATTCAGGATTTATTTTTTAAATTTGAGGTAAAAAGAAGTAAAGGATTAGAAACACAGTCTTGTCAGACCTACTTGGAGCCCCTTTTCCATTTTGCCACTCAAGAAATACTATCATTTGACCAAATTTACACCCTGTTGTTTATAAATTAGATTACCTTAGCTTTATTTGGAAAACCTTTCGGAATTTTGGGTCGTCAAAGCTCTTCAACTTCATACTATATTTGGCTTCTTTGAACTGTTTTGATTCAAGCGTCACTGATGAGTCTTTTGTAGACGAAACGCGCTTCTGGCATACAAAATTTGAATCCTTGTATCTATGATGAGTTTATTTATACTGAGAAAGTGCACTGATGTGAATTCTATATCTTATATCTGACACTTTTCAAACTAACTAATTTGCCATTCAGTACAATAAAACTGCAAAGCATCACTTTTTTGAGACAATTACATGCTTGTTATACCAGAATCATCTTCCTCAAGGAACTTTTAATATATCAAGTACCAATACAAGTCATTCATAACAAGTTTATAACTCCAGGGGGGATAACTCTTAGAACAGAAAGGTTGTCGATCAAGAAAATACTAGTACCAAGAATAAAAAAAACAAAACAAAACCATAAAGACTGTCTGCATATGAATATTGTTATTACGTATATACTCTATGATTATAAAGCAGATTTGATATCAGAATAGTAATTGAGCTCTTAATCTATGTGTTCAAAAGAAAATGGTCTCTGTTGAAGGTGACCTATAATTGCTTATAATTCCACTTTATTTAAACACTGATGGATAGTTATCCCATTGGTAATCATGCCACATCTTCTTATTTTTATATCTATACACACATAACAGTGCACGTGAGAGCTATCAAAGAACCTTAAGTGTTTTGTATAACATTAATTTGTCAGTATAATCAGTTTCAAAGTACATACAAGGTTTTGATTGACTTACACTTCATCCCATTTGTAGCATTTATTGGATTTACCTCCTTCTTCTATTACCAATAGTCCGATTCACTGATAAGATTATCAATGTATAAAAAGACTAGCTAATAGCATGTTTTCCTGTTTGACAGTTTGTATGAATTTACAACAGAAATATTATTCATCTGTTCACCAATTTATTTGAAGGTCTTAAGTTGTATTTGAAATAATAATAAAGATTATAAAAAAATTTGTAAGGGTTCCGCGGAACCCAGTGTCTCGCCTACTTTTGCTGTTAATCACAGGCTCAACAATAAACTGTTATCACAGAGATATGTCTCGCCTTTTTGTAATTTTGATAATGCAAATGTTGAAATTAAAATAGCAATATTTTAACATGTAAGTTATGCAAATATTCAAAGTCGATGAACCATGACTGAAGGTACATGGCTAAAAAATCTCCAAGGAAATGAGATGTGCCAATGCTAATACAACTGCATACCAAATACCATTAACTTATTATAAGTTGTTCCCTTTAAACAAACCTAAACACAAACATTAACTTGTAAACTATGTAAAAGTTTCAAAGTCAATGAACCATGATCAGGGGTGGGGCTATATAATCTCCATGGAAACGATACTTGCAAATGCCAATAAATTTGCATACCAAATATCATTGACTTAACATTAGCAGTTCATCTTAAACTGATCTAATCACAAACTAATACATGTAAACTAAGCTAAAGTTTCAAAGTAAATAAACCATGACTGAGGGGGCGTGGCCAAATATTCTCCATGGAAATGAGATGTGCTAATGCCTATACAACTGAACACCAATTAACATTGGCCTACCACTAATGGTTCCCCTTGAACTGACCTAATCACAAACTAATACATGTTAACTTAGCAAAATTTTGAAAGTCTATAGACCATGACTAAGGGGGTGGAGCCAAATAATCTCCATGGAAATGAGATATGCCAATGCTTATACAACTGCATACCAAATATCATTGACCTACCACTAGTGGTTCTCCATAAATTGACCTAATCACAAACTAATACATGTAAACTATGAAAAGTTTCAAAGTCAATCGAACTTGACTGAGGGGGCGGGGCCAAATAATCTCCATGGTAATGAGATGTGCCAATGCTAATACAACTGCATACCAAATATCATTGACCTACCACTAGTGGTTCACCATGAACTAGACCTAATCACAAACTAATACATTGTTGACACCGCCGCCGCCGCTGTCGCCGTCGCTGACAACAGCATACCTATGTCTCGCTTTTTGACTCCGTCAAGGCGAGACAAAAATGAGGAAAAAAATTAATAAAAATATTCCTCTCTATACTATCTTTTGATTGTAAGTAGCTTCTGTCAAAGTTTGGTAAAAATCCAGGATAGTTTATGAATCTAATAAATGTTTTAAAAACTTAAACTGCAGACTGTATGTAATGCTAACTGGAAGAAAAACCAAGTCAATTTATAAGTAAAATATGGAAAAAATGGAACAAAATTTTAACAAAATTTCCTTCTAGATACTAGCTTTTAATCATAAACAAGCTTCTGTCCAAGTTTGGTACAAATCCAGGATAGTTTAAGAAAGTTGTTAAAATTTTAAAAACTTTAACCACAGAGTGAATGTAATGTTAACTGGCAGAAAAACTAAGTCCATTTATAAGTAAAATACAGAAAAAATGGATTTTTTTTTTTTTACAAAATTTACTTCTGGATACTATCTTATGATCATAAACAAGCTTCATTCCAAGTTTGGTAGAAATCCAGGATAGTTTAAGAAAGTTATTAAAATTTCAAAAACTTTAACCACAGAGTGAATGTAATGTTTCCTGGCAGAAAAACTAAGTCCATTTATAAGTAAAATACGGAAAAAATGGGAATTTTTTTTTCTTCAGAATTTACTTTTGAATATTTTCTTATGATCATAAACAAGCTTCTGTCCAAGTTTGGTAGACATCCAGGATAGTTTAAGAAAGTTATTAAAATTTCAAAAACTTTAACCACAGAGTGAATATTTGTGGACGCCGCTGCCGACGAAGGAATGTAGGATCACTATGTCTCGTTTTTTCGCCAAAAGTCGAAGGCTCGACAAAAATCTAGTAACCATTTAATTAAATCACTCTCATGTAGAATCTAAGATAAAATCACCCTTTTTTGGCTCATAATTTTCAACTCTTTATGTTTTTGGTTCATTATACTCTATTCTATATTTTAGCACCCCCAATTATTCTCTTTTCTCCCCCCCCCCCCCCCCCCCCCCCCCACACACACACACACACTTCTCTTTTTACTGTTTTCTGTCCATTAATCTCTATTTTGTAAACCCCATCTGGACCCCTACTCAAGTCATTTAACAAAGCAATTTTAATTTCAACATGGTAATAAAAAAAATTAAAATTTTAACACACCAGCATGTTGTGGATAACATGCATTTTATTATAAGATCTTTTTGTCCATTTCCAAACAATTCAATACTGAAAAAAGATTGAACAAGTGAATCATGCATGTAGTCCCAATTTTAAGAAGAACAGGTTTATAATTTAACAACACAAATGAAAAAATCATATTTCATTTTGTTTTAAGTGTTTCTTATGTTTTTTTTTTAAATGAATATCTCAGCTCACCATGATTGTTTTCTAGTTTTTGAGACAATTACATACTTGTCATACATCTTCTTCAAGGAGCTTTTGATATATCAAGTACATGTACCAATACAAGACATTACCAACAAGTTTATAACTCCTGGGGAGATAACTCTTAGAACAGATGGGGTGTCAATCAAGAAAAAATCTACTTTAAAAAACGAAATGAAAACCTTAAAGACTGTCTTCATATATTGTTATGAAATATATACTCTAAAGTTATAGACCATATTTGATATCAGAATTGTAATTAAGCTTTAGTTAATCGATGTATTTGAAAGAAAATGGAGTCTCTTCAAACTTCATAGTGAGAGTTATCAAAGAACCTTAAGTGTTTTGTATAACATTTGTCAGTATAATCAATTTCAAAGTACAAACAAGGTTGTGTTGACTTAAATCTTACACTTCATCCCATTTGTAGTATTAGATTGGATTGACCTTCTTCTTCTATTATCCATATAGTCAGTGACAAGATTATTAATGCATATAAAGACGAGCTTAGCATGTTGTCTTGTTTGACAATTTGTATGAATTTACAGCAAAATTATTCATCTGTTCACCAATTTTCTTGCAGGTTTTAAGTTGTATATATTTGAAATGTAAAAAGAGATTGTTGTAAAAAATCTGGTAACTCTCATGTAAACCTAAGGTGAAATATAAAGTTATCTCAGAAAGCAAAAAGAAAAATGGTCACATACTTATTTTCTTGTCACATGACAAAATTAATAACTTTACAGAATATAATTTTATAAAATTGAATTACCTGAGTTATCTCCACTTATGAAAAAAAGGAAATAAAAACAAATTATATCTTAAATATTCTCTTTCCAACAGATAAAATTAACAAAATATCTGCATAAAAAAATAGTTTTATTTCATTGATCATCTTGACCAATCATTTGCAGTCCTTTGTTTAAAGATTGCCAAAGTTCCTAATACAACATTCAGGCAAAAGATATGTAATTGGCTTTATTTGTAATTTTTTATGAAATTTG